CCTGCAAAGTTGCAGAAGGAATTCTCCAAGTAAATCGTGTAACTCTGTATTTTCACCCTAGAACTACGTACTAAGTCTGCCTTATTGAGAATCTAAGACAACTTGCAAAATTCCTACAGTGTTATAAACAAAAGCCCTTCCCAAATATACCCTAGGCACTTTGGGCAGCTGCTGGGGTTACCAAGAGCAGGTAGGGCACGTCACCAGGATGACCCTCCTGGAGCAGGGACCATTTCAAGACTGCCAAATTACAGGAAACACTTCCTTCTAGTTTGGTAATCTCTGCCAAGTTGATAATGACCAGCAGAAGTCGCCAATGTTGCAAGTACTAAGTGGCAATTTCATTGGCAATTGCAGCCAAGGTATTGAACAGCAAATGGGGGGAGAAATCAGCAAATGCTGCATTAAGAGTACATTGGTCCTATACATACAAGAGGGTTGAAATCAGGGAGCAGAAAAGCTGACTTGCAAAAAAAATGAAATAAAATAAATAAACCAAGCTCACTAGAATTCTTCTCCCATTTAGATTTAAAAAAGGAAAAACCCTCTCTTTGATTCCAGACAAATCCATGCAGCCAATACTCTGCTCTGAGAAATTGCTCCAAATACTCAAGTCATTCAAGTAGGCTAGGGATTATCACAGTCTCCATCAAGGTAAACAATCCAGTACCATTTTTAAATACCAATCAAAGAGAACCGATAGAAAAGCAGACACTTAAAATGGTAATGAAAGAGAAACAGGTTATCCAGATATAATCCCATTTCAGACCCAGTACTGGGAGCTTTTTATTTCTGTCTCTACAGCAGCTGAGAATAAATGAGAGCCCTAGCGAATGCACTAATACCTGCAGTCACTCTGCATCCACGGCACTGAAAGCTCATTGGGTACGTCAACTTTTTATGCTGCTGGCTAGCCTGCCAAGTTGTTATTTCTGTCTACATGGGGGCACCACCCCTCCCCTTGCCTACAGGTTCCCTGCTGAGCATCCTGGATAACCTGCGACAGTGATGTGACAAGTTGTGTATTTAGGTATTAATTGAAGCATTACCTAGCGAAAATGGAATAAAACAAAAAAGCATCAATGGCTGAGTGAGCCAGGCAATACTGGCACTAGTTAGCACTCTGTTTTGATATTAAACAAAGATTCACTAAGGAGGTATCAGTTCCAAGAGGTTAGGGATTTAGGAGTATTTTCCTGATGTATTTTATTTCACTGCATAAAGAAGTACATGTATATATGCAACTACAAAGCTTTCTTTTTTAAATCCTAGATCAACATATATTAAGAAACGTGTAAGCAAAGGCATGGATACTGTACATCATTCCAGTGTGTTATGACAAGTGCATAGTAATCTCTCTCCTCTCTCCTATAGGCTCAGTACTTGTATGCTCAGTACCTCTGCGAGCATAACACACCCAAACACAGAGTGCTGGGACGATACTGCCAAGCCATCAGCTTGTTGCCACTACAGCGATGGCTTTGTAATGGCCCTACTTACAGAAAATGGGCCACAATCGCCAGTTTACTACTTTGCAATTGCGTGGCGAGGTTTTTCCTGAGTTCGCTGTTCAGCACAGGTAACCACTTTCAGGCTGCCTGTGTTGTGTCGCTTAATGAAAGCATTAGGAGTTATACTACCCTGCCATTACACTCAGGCTCGCAGAGAAGGAGCTATAAAGGAAAGGCATTGCAGGTGTAATTAATGGTGAGAGCACTGCAGCTGAGAGAGGGGACCTCTACTGAGAATCACCCAGGAAAACCAAAGACAAAGGTAGTCCTTAAACTGCTGACTGCAGAAACAAGTTCTGATCCAAAAATCAAATTGACTGCAGTCAACAGGTACTCTCTGGAAGCATACAGCTTCCAGGAGGCAACACAAAGCAGCACCAGCACTTGGGAGCTGATCTCCCCTGGCACTGCCAGTGCACAGGGTCAGGCAGAGGAGCATCGAGAGGCTGGAAGGAGAGAACAGCAGGCAGGCACCCTCCAACAGCAGCTGCTGAAGGGAAGGCCTGGTATATGGGAAAACACTGAAGAAAGAGCAGAAAATTGTTTTCCTCTTCTCCCAAAGGGTCTACAACACAAGACCGCTAATCTCCTTCCCTGTATTTGCCTACATCCTAAATGTACCCATCTGACCTCTTTATCTTTTCATACTCTTATTACCTATGGTTCTCTGGAGGAATTCTCTCTGGATATTTTACACTTTTCTTATACTCATTACTGTGACCGAAATCTCCTATAAGAAGCCAAATGCTTCAGAGCTCCTTCCTTGTTAAATCTCAAAAATCTCATCAATAATAAAACATTTTGCTGTAAGTGACAATTTGCAATGGCTTATTTGCGCTCCAAGACTCTGACACCAAGGAAGAGAAATCCTTCTGTGATGCACCAAATCCCCAATCAACCGGAAAATTAGGAAGAATAATGCAAGGCTGCAGATCTGTGTAAATTCATTTTCCATATTCATCTTCCACAACTAAGTTTCAAAAAGTGCTGACTAATTCTGGGTGCTCACACAGGCAGCAGGCACTGCTGTACAGCCAGGCCAAGTTACCTCCGTGGCTTTTCTTGTGCCTCTGTACACTTGCAATAGTTGACAAGATTTCTCTCTGTTTGGGAGTATAATTTAGGAACAAATTCGCTTTGGGGGGGAATTGCCCAGTGCTGAGATACAATTCAACTGAAGTTCAAACTTCAGAGTCTATAAAACTACCTATAACCTTATCTTGAACGGGGAACATAAATTTAGGGATGTACACAGGAGAGACAAATCACAGAGATAAGTATCATACACAAATCTACAGAAGCCACGTAATTACTGCATTAGAGATCCATGAATGATCTCATTCCTGTTTAGGACAGAGCTGCTGATACATTAAGGATGTCCCTGCAGGAGTGTTGCAGCTCAGGCCAGACGCCCACTTCTGAAGTAGCCATCACCATCACTCCCACCACACAGCGTGGCAGTTTGCGCTGCAGTGAGCTCTAGGAGCACAAAAACTGGATTCCTGGAGAATAAAACTCTGAAATCTAGGCGAGTCCTGGTCTTTCTGCAGCTGAGGTCCAGCCACCTAAGGGGACCAAGCTTGAGCCAGTCTGTATGAACTCTCCTGTACCTGCCAGTGGTTGTCAGGGCCCAGCACCAACTGTGTCACCCTACAATGCACCAAGTCCGTGCAACAAAGCTTCTACTGAAGTCTTGCCATACTGTAAAGATGGCATTTCCACTTTCGGCTGGGTTTCTCCAAGAAGAAAGGCTTACTTATCCACCCCCATGCTACTGCCCCCATGTCCTTCCCCAAAGATTTTGTGTGGTGGTGGCAAAGCTTTGGAGACGCAAATCATTCCTGAGAGCAGGCAGCCAGGCGGAGGAGAGCTGCTCCCCAGCACGCCTCCAAGGCTGTGGGTTACACTTAGTGTTCGTTAGATGACATCTGCTAACGAGGTGGTTGTTCTGACTCCCCGGGAGAGGGAACGGCCCCAAGTTGGTGCCTTGTGAGGGAACCTACAGCCCAGGCAGGGGACACAGAGCTGCCAGGACACCAGGCCTCTCCGTGCTCTTGCTGAGAGCACGAGCGACAGGTTCAGCAGCATTTCTGCACCTCGTATATATAAAGATGAGCTCTCCCCTGAAAAGTGCTTTTAACACAAACATGTGAAAAGGGATAAATGGTCAAACATCTGATGCATGGCTCACATTTTGCCAACTTACCAGCTGTAGCAAAGCAGGCATGCTCTTATGTGGAACATCATACAGTACCTTTTGTGCTCACATGAGCTAGCATTGCCAGTCGCTGTGTTAAAACCTGTATTTCTCCCTCTGTAAATATTTTTTTCCTTCCTAGTGAACGTGGAAAACATCATTTAGTTCTAGGAGCACCTTTGCAATTATCTTAAAAGATTGTACAAGCCAGTGCACAGCAGCACCAGCCAGAGACAGTCATTGCTGCAATATTATTTTCTTTTCATCTAATTCCATTTGCAAGACCTCTAGAGGGCAGTGAATAAAAGAAAATAAAGTACCAGAAATAGCCAGAAATGTTAAATACAATATTAAAAACTGGGATCTCCTCTAATTATTCCCTTGCATTGAAAGCCTTCCAGGTAATTCTATGGATTTATGGATTAACGCAATGGGATTTCTCCACCCCCAAATCTTACGCTCTGCTGCAGTTCGCACTGACAGACCTTACAGCAACACATTTCCCCAGTCATTTACTTCATTAAGCAGAAATCACTTTCCTACAACTAAGCTAGAACATGCAGCAGGCCATCTTCTTTCCATGGTGCTCACGGGCAAACAAAGTACTTATTTGCCTTCAGAAAGTCACACTAAGCCAAAACAAAAAGAAAACACAGTCTAGTAAACAGGAACTACAGCAGAACGTAGTCTCATATAACTCCTCTTTGATTTTCATGCATGTACTGGCCACAGTTCAGGCATGCTGCTAATAGCTTCATTATTCATTTCATGGTAGGATATACAATTAACCCATTACCCAAGGAAAATATAAAATCTAGGATAAAACTTGATTTAGGCACAACAGAAAAAAAAAAAAGAAGAGTAGATACAACATACTTATCTGGCCAGTAAGAATAGCAATCAGCTCACCATTACATAATTTCAGCTATGCTTTAGTAACTTTTTATGGCTTTACCAACCTTTGTGGGACTCAGAAAATAGCTATGCAATTACCACTGGCAGAGCTGTCCTCATGGTGAGTTAATGCCCTGCTAATTTTGGGAATGCAGAACAGGTGTTAACGCACCTACAGACACAAAGAACTGAGAGTGCAACAAAATAATGCCTGAAAATGTGTATGTTGACACGTGATGTCAGGGCCCCACGGGCACTAACGCACCTTGCAGGCCCCCTGGCTTGCCCTCACTGGTGTGCTGGGACAGCACGCTACACTGGCCCCCAGCAAGGCCTCAAAAGAGTTAGAGAGGTAACAGATACTTTTGCCATTTGCATTTGTGAAGATACAGACTTACGTGAACTTCTGAGCCTTCTTCATGCTCCACCGAAGTTTGCTGCAGTGTCTCTGAGTGATGTCCTACAGGGACAAAAAATTGGGAAAAAGTTATTCTTTCTCATTTAACAGAATGCAGCTAAATAATTTTGCTAACATTTGCACTTTCTGTCCCATCTTGAAAGAACAAATAATGCATGCAAGTGGCAAAGGAGTGAGGAGACTTTGCAAAAAGCCATTTGACTTCTTGCCAAACTCCACACACCAGACAGGTTTTTGAAGGTCCCTTATTCCCCTCCTAATCTTTTTTCGAAAATTCTCAGACAAAACTGAGAGCAACTCGAGCTATTTTCTCTTATCACAAAGCTTCTTATATTTAGAAAGTTCTGATGTGTAGAGCAAAGACACTTGTATAGAAACATCATTACTGTGGTGAAGTGGAACTGACAATGAAAGGAAAGGACCATCTAGGCACAGACAGCCATGCTAGGGAGAGGACCACTTTGGCTGGTAATGTGAACTTACAAAGCACCTGTTTAAAAGCCAGAAAGGAAAACAGATTTGACTGAATTAGTTTCAAAGCCAACTAAATTGCAGTTCACTCACAAAGCCCACATCTGCACACATCCACTAAAGCAGATAAAAATATACAACCCCCCTTAGCAAATGCCTGGAAAAAAAATAAGGCCTGAAGTCACATGTTGGTCTCAAGTAATTGAAAAAATGGTGAGAAAATAACACATTATACAACTCTACAGCCAGAAAATAACTACATTCCAACTAAAGAAATAAAATCAAGTGCTCTGGGACATATCCTTGCTGATACTTTTCACTAATGCTCCCCTAAAAGTCTGCAAAACATTAACCGCATTACCATGGAGTCAAATGTCAGTGCGAAGGGAAGAAGTTACGTGTTGCCTTACTGAGGTAGCCTGGAGGAATTTCCTTTCTCTCGGGAAATATCACTCTCCTGCAGAGAGTGCTCTACCTCTGGACTTCCTTCTGTAGAAGGAAATAGGTAGTGCAATGCACAAGAGCAAAAAGTCAAAAATGAAAATAATTGACAGAAGCAAACAAAAAAAGAAAGGAAGAATCTATAATGAATTTAAAAAATAAAATAAAATAAAATAAAATAAAATAAAATAAAATAAAATAAAATAAAATAAAATAAAATAAAATAAAATAAAATAAAATAAAATAAAATAAAATAAAAATAAATAGACAAAAAACAGCTCAAAAAGGGGCAACAAGAAGATAGCGATGCGTGGCAAGGCTTTAGAGCAGCAGCTTTGGGTCAAGACAGCCCTGGGCAAATCCTAGATATTGTTACAACTTCGTCAGCGAGTAAAGATGCCTACGGCTGCACACACCAACGAAAAGGCATGGTACACAGAATTAAGGAGTACAGAAGTGCTGCTAGTTCAGGATCTTTTGGAAGTGGAATTTTTCTTCTTTAAAGTTAAAATAGGTTGCATGGCTTTCTTCACAAGATCTTCCATTCAGCATGAGGTCGCTCCTATTTTGCTATGCAGTTTTTATACTTTCTCAAGTTACCCAGAAGTGCTCTTCAAAAAGATTAAACAGAAATCCAGATGGCTTGAGAAATTATTTCCTGACGACCACAAAGAACAAAAAAGGGATGAGAGGATGAATCCACAATTTAAGCAGGAGGGCCGGGGCAGTCCTGACTCCTGCGTGCCAGGAGGGTCTCTCATTCCATCTCAGAGGTAATCTACGTCATGTCCAGGCTGTGTTCCTAAAACAAGTGGCAGTGCTCCTAAAACAAGTGGCTTCTGAGGTGAAAGAGCACACCTCAGGCTGGAAACCAGAAGGGACGCTGGGCATCACCTTCCCCACAGCACGCGGAAACGCGCTGTTTCTGCACAGTGGCTAAGGAGAGGGACAGACAGGAGGCACAATGCTTCTGCTGGTCTGTAATCTCAGTTACATGCAGCCCTGCTTACCAAAATCGTTTGAGTGTGAGCCAGCAACTCCCCACCCCAGGCATACAGGCTTCTGCAAACTGAGCAAACTGCCTGGGTAGAATTAAAGCGCCCTCCACAAGCAGATTAAAGAAAGCGGCCATAAAAGTAGCACAGACAACTATCCTCTCTCTCTAACCCTGGAAAAGAACCATGTAATTGAATATAAACTAAGAGAAGCTGGCTTCTTTGAAACGACCTGCTTATGGTGTGCTCCTCCGGGAGTAATCCAAATGCTGTAATGCATTCCAGCATTAATGCAACAGAGACTTTGTAAATACAAATGGTTACGTCTCAAACAAAGATGTAATTTTGCACAAAACCACAAAGCTAGACTCGCTCTGGCTCGTTACAAAACATTATCAGTGTGAGGGCTTGCAGCTGAAGGCACTGTGAGGACCTTTCTTCAGGCTAGGAAGATGAGGCCTACAGCAGATGAGACTTTCCTGACGCAGACCCTTGGGGCCCTTCCCATCCTAAGGCAGCACTTTTCAGACCATGTCTCAAGCAATAAAACCCATCCTGACCAGTAACTTTTGCATGGGTTGGTATTTCTGGCTGCTGTGACTGCTGTTTGTAACACACTTTTTACTCCTGGAGTCGTTTGCTTAGGCAGCTGCAGAAAGATGTTTCAATGCCCAAGGCACGAGCTCCTGCCTTCTCCTCTCTTCCTCACCCTTCTCAACCATGCCAGGGACTTCTTCCAGCCACTGCTGCCACCCTGCAGCTCCTTGTACAGGGGAAAACACACCAGCTGGCAAGACTTGGGCATATTTGCTCCATTTCATGGTCTTTTGCCTCAAATTTCTTGCACATCTGGTTATACAGGAAATTAGGTAAAATAATACTATAGCAATAAAGCTGAATTACTGCAGAAAGCAATTTAGCTACGTAGGTCACTGGCAAATCAGAAAGGCTTCTGTGAACCTACTACTAGCATAGTGAGGATGGGGTAAATCACTAAAACACTGAAACGTTTAATCCAGAACTTTGAAATAATCCCAAATCTATTTTCTGACTTCCTCTCAGTAGCAAGTACATTGAGAAGCTCCTGGTAAGCACAGCCATTATGCTAATTAAAAAACAAAAATAAAAACTGGAAAATAAGAGTTAGCTTAACAGGTAAGGCTTCATGTTCCCTCTCCACCATCAGTGCTATTGCCCTAAATCTTTAATTAGAGCAAAATGGACTTCTCCCTTCAGGCACTATGATTTACAGTTGAAATCAAAATGCATGTTGTGTTCAGAAATTACCTGGGCACCCGTACATGCTACTGAGTAACCTGGCGAGAGCCTCTACATCGGGACTGGGAGAATGCACTGAGAAAATCTCAGCTTACCCAGCCTGCAGACTACCAGCATCCAACTGCCAGCCCCAGGAGAAAAGCGAGGTAACCTGGTCACTGCCTGACTCTGCATTCACCCCTGCCTTCAGACACAGCTGCAATTCCCCCCCCTGCACTGGCCCTACCTCTTTACGAAGCTGGTTGTGCTGGGAAGTGGAGCCTAGGAGCTTGGACAGTGCTGAGGTGTATTTGAAGCGATTTGTTCAATGAGGTTGTCTTTTCTTTCAATTTTTTTTTTTTTTAGAATGAGCTTTCACTGTCACTATTTTATTCCACTAGAAAACAGTGGATAATTAAGAGAAAACATTACTGTAAATCAACAGAAATAAAAGGAACAACTCTGGCATCCAAATGAAGGCATTTCACAATTCAAGTCTACAAGAACTTAATTCATTCACATTCAGGTTTCTGTTCTGGTTTTTGGCCTAATTTAGATATTGTTCCCTAACCAGAAAACCACGTGGGAGACCCCATGCATCAGCTGGCAAGTGGAGATGGACAAGCACCAAGTCCTCCACACAAGAAGAAGAAATCACCTGCGTATGGCACGGGTACAGCATGGGGATGGAGCTGCTCAGCACTGAGAAGAAACACTGGGGAGACCACAGAGCATCACAGCAATGCTGGAAGGACAAACCAGAACTCAGCTGGGGTGGTGTCCACCCGGGAAGAAAAGGAAGAAAATTCAGACTCTGCTCTGGAGGCAAGGTGCCCAGTCCTGGGCACTGAGCTTACAGACAGAGGAGAGCACTCTCACAGCACTCGGGAACAACAGGAGTATTAAGGGATTTGCAGAATGCATCCTGCGAATAAAGACTGCAATAATAACAACGATCACATTCATTAAAGTGTTATAAAGAGGAATGTTTTACAAAGGAAAGTAACTGTGAATAACAGAAAAATACCAGACTTCTGAGCTTAACACTACAGAACCTGCAAGGGTGATGTAAGCAAACAGAGGAGGCTTTACCTACCCAAATTACCAAAAACCCTGCCTGCCCACAGCCTGAAAAAAGCTGCAATACCACTTCAGATGCAATTTGAAACATTTCTGTCAACGTAAGGAAACAGAACGACCATCCTATCTTGCCCAAAGTGATATTATTTATACATAACTTGATTTTAGCTCCCGATGAAATTCTGCTCGTGTTTCATTTTTCAGTCTGTCCATAAAGACCTTGCAGCTGCTGGCAGACCTCTCCGAGGAAGCAGGACATGTGGACATGCACTTGGAGCAAACTGGCCAAGGCCAAGAAAGCAGAAAATTGCTGTTGCAGCTTAATAAATAAAACAGTGGCCAGGTAAATCCTACCAAGATTTACACCTGTGTGTGAAAAAGGGAGGAGGAAACGTGCATTGCACTCATAGTTAACTCAGCTCTGTCCTTTTGGTTCTACTCGATACATGTGGTATACCCTGACTTAGGTGAAACTGAGAAAATGTGAATACGTAATAGGAAACTGATGTAACTCTATTCTAAGAGAATGAAATTTCTTTCCTTTTCAATGCCTCTCCCTTTCAACAGTCAGCATCTGGAGCAACTGGCCCTACTTGCTCTCCTCAGAGGCGCTGCTGAAGCTGATGGCAGGCAAGCAAGGGATGAAGGAACACGGCAAAAGCAAGAAGCCTGCAGAAGGGTTAAGATGATGGCAGCAGTGCTGCTGGCTCTGAAAAAAATATGTTACAAAGCAGCAATCTAAATCTGAAAGAGCCTGATGTGTAAGGCAGCTTTTAGGCATATGAGTTTGTATCCTGC